GATAGATAGATAGGTAGATAGATGGAACCTTACACCATACACCAAACTATTGAAACTGTTCGCGCTTCAGATGGGCAAGCTTCCCAGCAAGGCCAACTACTACAGACTAAGACCTATGGTTCGTACGAGTAATCCCCTAAGCCCACAGCAACAAAGTCACAACATCCCTCAACCCTGGAAGCCGGACCCCAACACTATAACCACAAGCCCAGAGAAAGTTGAAGCTTGCAGCGTACTGCAAGTGAGACGGAAAAATCACTGCATTGACGGCGATACCATAGTTCAAGACGGCTTTGTCAAAAAGACGAAAGGAAAAGCCATATCAGCTATTTTCGCAAATCGTTGTGCAAAGCCTTAGACCGGTACCAAGGCATGTTACCTTAATATCTTAAGTGCCAGCGGGTGACAATAGCTCCTCGACAACTGATCGAGCAACAGCGAGCCGTTGATCTCGACCTCGGAGGCTTTGAGGCCGTTTCTCTACGAGGTTCATGTGCTTTTTCAGTATGCTCATGCCAGTGGTACCTCTACCACACGGAACACCTGCCTGGAGGTAGACATACCACTCCAGTGGCTTGGTGCGACCCTGTGGAGGTGCTTCCTCACGGTATCCACGACTAAACTCGTCACTGCGGAATTTCGGAGTTGCGGTGTGAGGTTTACGTTCAGGACACTGGGTTTGGGCTCCGGATTACTTTTGTGTTTCGATGGCGTGTTCACACAATCAGTGCAACACTTCAAGCCCCCAGAGATACAACTGATTCCGAATCAGGGTAGCAACGCTTTTCCCACGTGCCAGTGACGATCATATTGATCATTGGAGGATCATAAGACTGCGGTTGAGTGTACATGCTAGCCTTTACGGGGCACTCCTGCCAAGGAGCCGAGCACACCGCGCTCCACCAACTCCGCGGCAGTTGGGCGCTGCTTCAAGAAAACCTCTGCCGATCTCGAAAAGAGGATTGCTGGATTCGAGTTCTTGAGCTACGCTGGTCCTTGCGGGTGTTGACGGTTCATGGTTTGGGGCCCAAGCTACGTTCAGGGTTCGGGCTTCAGGCGTTTGGGGTTTCCAGGGTGATACAAAACTTCAAGCATCGGCTCAGGGCTCGCGGGGCCTAGCACCCGGAGATGAAGCCTACTAGATACTAGTACAACCAGGTATGTCGAAGCTTTCTGTACCTCTCGGCATAGCATGATCACGACCATTCCCAGTTTCCCCTCTCTGGCCACCACAAGCATGCGTGACCTTCTTATTGCAATGGCTAGCATTGCTCGCTGTTCTTGCGATCACCATTAGTCGCACTCTTGCTCTTCTTCATCTTCTGACTTCTGCTTCCACTTCTACTTTTACTGCCACTGCAACTGCCACTGCCACTTGCAGTGCCACCGCCCCGCACCACAAGCATCACCATGACTGACTACTACGACGGCCACTACCAATACCGTTGCCAATACCACTACCACTGCTACGGCTGCTGTCCTGCTCCTGCTCCTGCTACTGCTACTGCTACGGCAACTGCACTACTGCACTACTGCTAGTTTTAAACACTGCCATTCTTTATGAAATCTGCGGCTGAGTTCGTCGGTTATCATCCCAGGAACGGTGACTCAGTGGGCAGCGGTAGCTGGAGTGAACTCAACGCCATAGCCCCTACGTCACCCTAAACAGTAGAACCCTAAACCGCCTGACCACCCGAGATTCTAGACACCCAGCGCCCCAAACCATGAACCCCGCTACACCCTACGCATGCACCTCCAAGCGCTCCCGGATAACTTGCTGCTGATCGACCACGCCTCAGGCACTCCCCAAGAAGAACAGGCATATTGGCTTGAGGGTGTCGGTGTGCCTAGTTCGGGTCCTCTTGTGCTTATTTGAGGAGCTGCCAAGGTGTCGACTTCTCCGGCTGGTTTGGGGCTGCGTGTCTGCTGCGATGCTCAAGATATTTAGGGTGCAAGTGCAGTTTGGTTTTTGGGCCGCAGTAGTGATTTGGGGTCCAATGCTGCAGGCTATACGGGCTTCAGGACCTTTTTGGATCTAGATTGTGCAGCTCTATTGAGGGTTCTTGGGCATCGACTTGAAAGCTTTGGGGCACTTGGGGCTTTGAGATTGCTTTCATTGGGAGTTTAGGTTTAGGATTCAGGCAGAGTGGGAAAATTGGGAGTTTAGGTTTAGGATTCAGGCAGAGTGGGAAAGCACTCCGAAGATTCTGCAAATTCCTCATGACCCAGGGTCCATGTATGGTTATATAGCTACATGTATCTCTTCATATGCAGATAATCAAGTTTCTGCAGCGAGAAACCGCTACGCACTATGCAGGGAGTTTAGGGTCTAACTTAGCTTGGCGGCTTTGGAGACGCTTAATTTAATGAAGGCTTAAGTCAGTGCAGGATTCAGGCCTGGGTTCAATCTGACCCCAAACACTGCGGTACACCTAATGGGGTTCGTTGTTCAGGAGTAAAGAGACTTGGCTGCTGCGCGCGTTCAGGAAAACATTCCACGACGTGGCTCACGCTGCGGCGACGTTGTTTACACAGGACCGCGTCCCCGAAAAAGCCAGATTCATTGCGGTTTCCTGGCGGTGCTTTGTGGTGATCTCCTCGTGGTCTCCTGGTGTCCTCAAGGAGGTTTCTTTCTGGCATCCGGGTGGTCTCCTGCTAGTCTCTGGATGGTGTCCTGGATATGGTGGTCTCATGGTGGTCTCCTGTGGCTGTGGTATCTTGGCGATCTCCTGGTGGTCGTAATTTTCAATTTGTGCATGGTCGTCGATCGTCGTGGTCGTGGTGGTCATGGTCGTCATAGTCTGGTCGTCGTGGTGCTCCATCACTGTTTGGGGATCCACGCTGGCACAATGGCATGAGGAGTTTGAGCGTTTGGGGTCGAACTTGCCGCTTTGGGATCGAGGCTTATGCTGACGATCACCATGAAGGTCAGAGCAAAGTAGCCAAACCCGAGAACGAAAAGTCGACGACAATCGTCATTGGGGATTCCAGATAACAAGCGACATCACGAGACCCTACTGTAGACCTTGGATAGTCGGCTTCTTATTTTTAAAGACCCCCGTCAAGAAAGCCCCCAGCAACAGAAACTGTGAAGCCTGGTGCAATCGAGATGCGGGCTTCGCCTTGCTTCTGATCAAGGTACTTGGCGATAAACATTGCTCGGCAAAGGCAGCTTTCGGTGCTACTTCTGATGTCGGGACTCTAGGGGGCAGGGATAGGGGCTCGGACTCGGACCTGGGTTTTTTGGTGTCGAGCTACGGTTTGCGTTGAGGGCTTGGCTTGGTTTGGGGTGCGTGGCTCTCTTCAGGCTTCGGGGTTCAGGGTTCAGTGTCTGGTGTCTTGAATGTGGGAAACACCCTGAAAGCGAAACCCTACAATCCTGACCCCTAAAACCTCGAAACCTCCCAAACCCTAAACCCCATAAACTATCCAATGCTCGTGCGTTGGTGGCTCGCTGCTCAGGAAGCCCTGACGAAAGCCCACTCGGGACTTAGCGCCGGGGTGTTCACTTCAGGGCGTGGGTTTGCATCTCCAAGCCTGAGGCCTTGAACCCAAGAAAGCTCACAAGTTTGGCATTTGGGTGTTTATGTCGGGACCTTCGGATCGAGGGCACTGCCCGAGGGGCCTGGTAGCTCGGGTTGCCCTGTTGGGTGTCTCAGGCCTGGGATGGAGGCTTAACAAGTTTGCGGGCTCTGAGCGCTTTCGGCTTGAGATTTAGGGTTTCGACTTAGGTTAGGGCTTCGGGCTTCGAGCCCAGAAGTGACCGTCGAAACCGTCAGCTTTTCGAGTTGGGGCATCAGCCCGATTTCCCTGGAAATCTGCGATGATCTTTTTCCAGGCTGCGCAGGTGTTTGGTGATGATTTGGCAGAACGCCATCTGAGTAGCTTGCTGACATCGTGCCCGGCTCAAACCTCTTAGAAATGCGTGCGCATGGCTCGAAGGTATGTTCATGATGGGGCAAACGATCTATGTGGCATCTAAGGGCCTAAGGGCAACAACTTCTCGAAGCTCACGGACGCTACTCTGTCAGCAAGCCATCGGGGTATGTACATGTCGAAGGCCTGGGATATCCTCGGCCAGGAAAGCGGGCTTGAGCCGTCAGCGCCCATCGTTCAGGGTCCCATCTTCAGCCTTGCAGTCTGCTAGGTCTAGGTCCTTTCCACTTGCAACTGTGCGCGGGTCCGGTGCTCCTTCATTCTACTTAAAGTTCCCAACTTTGGGTGGTTTGGTCGCCTGAGAAGGCTTTGGGTGGGATAGAAATTCAACGATCTAGCTGCGATCAGGTTTTGATTTCGTGTCGCTGGTACGGTGCATTCGAACCGCAACATTATGGCAGGGTGGCCAGTTTCGCGTATGAGCGTTTCGTGTATGAGCTGTTCCACGAAAAAAACTAAAGCCTAATTCCGGCCAAAATTTGGAACCGACGCCCCGAGACCCCAAAACCCTAGTCGTTAGGGTTTTGGGGTTTCGGACGCCGTCGGTTTCAATCTTGGCCTTCATGCCCTAATCCTAAGCCCTACTGTGAATCCCTGAAGCAGCAAACCCTCAAACCCCCAACAGCAACAGGCTCCCAGGCTTCCGCTCCCCGTGTTTGGCGCCTGAACTGGCACCGGCTTGGCCCAAGTTCCTGCAAAGCTGAAGGCGCTTGGAGCTTTAGTATATGGCTTTAGGGCTTTACGGTTGGGATGCAGGCGGCTCTTGCAGGAGGTTCATGGTCACAACTGCATAGGTGTGGTACCAACAGGGAAACATGAAAGTGGAAATTTCAGAGGTCAAACCACAAAAGCAGAAGCCCACAACCTAAACTGCACAGTTTCGTGCCCCAGTTTCTTGCCCCGCACCCTAAACCCAAAGAACCTCAACCTTCCAGCATGAACCACTAAACCTAGTCCGAACCGCAAAAGGCCTTTGCATGACGAAGTGCTTCACCCAGGAGGGCAGGCATCGCTTCTGCGCAGGAATGGGCAACCCGAGGGGAGCATGGCCTTCTTGCCCGGGGTCTTGGTTTCGATCTGGCTTAGGGTCTCGGATATCCCGTTGTTTGCGATGCCAGTGTGAGTAGGAGTCTCGGACTCGCCCACATCCGACGCTAAAGCATTGCGATGTTGCCTTTGGGTTTTGCCTGATCTCTGTTTTATCGATTTTGGTTTGGGGCTGCCGGCGCGAGGCACATGCATGTCTCCATTGGACCTCTTGGATGTGGTTGGGCAAATTCTCGCCTCGGGACTGTTCTCGCAGGTCTATCATCCTCGTCGTTCAGTCTGTAGCAACTTCGCGCTGTGGAGACACGGACGGCCAGGAGACATGTTCAAGAAACTGACCGAACAACTGACGACAACGTGGCCAATATCCTAGGAAAGCAAAATATCGTCACATTGATCCCTGATTGAAACAGACTCAAACTACCATCCGAATTCTCCGACATCTCGCAGCCCGGGGCCTTGGGCTTCGGGTTTGGGGTCCCAGAGGCCCATGCCTGGAACTCGATCCATTCTTTCGCACAGCGCTTTTCTGCCTTCCGGTGAAGACTCGGACTTCGCATATCGGGAGATGCCGATCTGCAGGCTCTGATGCAAGGTTTCGAAACTCCCATGTTTTCTGAAACTCCCATATGGCTCGGAGCATTCCGGCTCTGGAGGTACCCAACCTGTCATTAAGCCGAAAAGCCCCACCGAGGCCTGAAAGAACCCGAAGCCCGTTTGGGGTCAAAGCCTAAAACCTGGAAACCTGGATCTTGGACGCTCGGCCCTTGACAGCGCCAAAAACTGGACAAACAAGCTACACTTCCGCGACCGAGGACCCTAAACCCTAAACCCTAAACCCTAAACCCAAAACCCAACCCCAGAGCCTCCAATCCTGCGGAAGTCGGCTACAGCACCCCTAGAGGCACCTCTGGACCCATCTGGCCGTCCCCTTGGTCCAGGCAAGCGAAGAAGGCGTCGCGGGAGGCCCAACACCTGAAGATCTTGGGACGGTTTAGAGTTCAGCGTTTTCGCGTTTGGGGCTCAAGGATTCGTGCACAATTAGGGTTCGGAGTTTGGTGTTACGGGTTCTGGGTTTAAGGCTGGGCTTTAACACTTCAGGCTTTTGAAGCTTTCCCCAAACTCAACACTTCTCGTGAATCAACCTCCGAAATTCTACAGCGCGCGAAACCCTGAACCTCTTCATTCCAGCAGCCTGAACCTGAACCTCAAAAAGTTGAGCCCCAAACCCGAAGATCCAAATCCCCATTCACCCCAAACCAGTAAGCCCTAAGCCCCACCAGCTGGCAAAGGAGCTCTCGTCTCTTCGCCCCACTGGCCATGGTCTTCCCTGCAGCCTCCCCAGCGCGAGAAACCCAAATTTCGAGACCCTGAATCCGAACGAAAGCTAATCATGCCCATGTGTGTGTTATTTACAAAGCTTATTTATTTTATTATTCGTTCATCGTTTATTCATGTATGTATTTATTATGTTGTTTGTTCATGTATTTATTTACTTATATATATATATATAGTGGGTGTGTGTTGCACGTGTATGTATATGTGTATGTAAATATATACATATATATATGTATATATTATATTATATGATATTATATATATATATATGACTCCAATACATATACAGACATACATACATACATACATACATACATACATACATACATATATATATATATATATATATTCTATATGTGTTCTCGCGTCCCGGGCCGCTATACACCCGCCCCCCTCCCCAGCGGTCCTGCTGACAGTCGCTCTTATTGAATCGTCACCGCGAACCGGCACAAACCCAGGCAAGCCACAGGGAGGGAGGACGATGGAGGCGACGGGTGTCACTGCAATTTTCCGCCGCGGGACCGCATCAGAGCAGAGACAGGGGAACCATTTGCAGGGAGAACAGGGCAACATCAAATCGTTCTTTATCGTAATGAGCACCATAACGATGACATAACTACTGACAAACGGCTGCAACCATACCTTTGCAGAACACCCTGCCCCCCTACCCTTGTCTGCGAACTGCTCAGCGACAACGCACAGCATGGGAGGATGTGGAAGACTAAGAAGTCGAGAGATCAACAACCCAAGCAAGACCGCAGGCACTACGCCACAGGAGGGGCGGGGCCAATCACTCGGTTTGAGGGTTTTGCATCTTGCAGCCAGCGACCAGGGCTGGACTTTCATTGTCATGGACATTAATCAAGAGCCCACATATCCCAACCAAAACCAATAAGCCCGAAACCTTCAGTGATTCAGTCTCCAGTCCTCGAAATCCCAAGTTGTTACACTTAACCCGAAAAGCCTCAAGTCTTATCCGTGGGCTTGGGGTCTGGAGGCTCCAGAAAAAATCGAAGCCGGCAATAGCAAGCAGGTTCTTACAAGGATGCTACAACCTATTGTCCAGGGTTCAGGGTTTAGGGCTCAGGAATCCTGGCGTGTAGGGTTTTCGTTTGTTTTACCTACTGTTGCTGGTCGCCTCCAGTACATGGCAACTCTCAAAGGTTTGGAATGACCCCATGTGTGGTGCTAGGTTCAGGTTTTGAGATTAGCGGTGAAATGATCTGAACCGGACAGCCTGTTTTGAGCTGAGGGTTGATGGTTGAGCGGTCAAAGTTTCAGGCGAAGACAGCGGAGCCAGCGTGTATGATTGCATTGCCAGTTTCATCGGCTAAATCCCACTTTGCGGTATAGGGCCGCAAGGAAATCATCTTACCAACAGTCTCGTCGCACTCAGAGGCTGGAAGCAGAAATCACGCTACCATTTGACCGGTAGAACAGCCTTGTGCTTGAAATGCTCCAGGCGGCCAAACCCCAAAATATTCTTCCGACTACACTGACTACACCTTGACCTTGACATGAACACTGAAATCCCAAAGACCCTCGATCCCCAAAGTGTGGAGATTTTAGGTATTAGTCTTGGGGGTTCGGCTGGTGCCGAGTTCCGGGTCAAGGATTCCTGTTACAGCGACCCGACGTCCAGGACTTACAAGCTTAAGCTTTGAGGCCTAGTTTAGACTTCGCGCGTTCGGGCTTTCGGGCATACTTGCGGAGTTGGGGGCATCTGCCTCTTCTCTGCATCTTGCACCGACTTTCGCCAAGTACGTGCGTTGTGTTTTTTGCAGGGGCTGCTGAATCTGCGCCAAGGCTACCCGAACAGAGAAAGAAAGAAAAGATCTCGAGCCTGAAGCCACTGAATGTTCTGGTCAAAGAGATAAATACTTACATGATTTGACTTGATGAAGTCGTATCACATCCTCTAGAAACTCAATCTGAGCGCCTGAATCCTTGAGCCCTAACATGCCCTAACCCTATCCCTAAGCTGGGGGCCTCGTCTGAAGCCATGTCGCATAAGACCCCGGCCAGAGTTGAACGACGGTCGGCGCTGTATGGCTTCGGGGGCGGTCGGGTCTCGGGTTTGGGGTTTGAGGACTACAGCTCTAAGCTATGTAGGGTTGAGGTGTTGAGGGGTACTGTAGGGCTTGAAACAGCTTTTACCGAAGGCTTCCGATCAAGAGTTGAGAATGTGGGATCAGATCTCGAGCTTAGGGTGCAGAGTTTGGGGCTTCAGCTGTCGAGCTCGCGCCTCTTCGATCGCAGGGGTTTACGAAGCCTTGGACCAGCGCAACGGCACAAGGGATTCAGTAAATCCAACTCTCCAAGTCCGCAATGGCCCAAAATTCCGCTCGGCCAGAAACCTTTCTAACCCTAGATAGCTCCTCAAACCCCGTGACTCACCCTGGCCTCAAACCTAAGACGCCAAACTGCGACGACCTGGCAGAGCCCTCAACATGCCCTCAGCTCCCCAAGGCATCTGTGGCTTTCGTAGGCGTCTGTGCTTGGTAAGGGTGTTTTCGGTGCTCATAAAGGGCTTTCAGCGGTCTATTGTGGACTCTCTATTCTTCGCTTCTAACTTCGGATCTCTGACACTGCAGTGAGAACCTCAATGCCATTAGTCCTTGTACATCCTCGTAACCTATGACTTACCCATCCCAGACCCCAGGCCCGGAACCCTTAAATCATGACTCCTCTACACGCTGAACTCGCCCGCACCTTAGGGTTCCTTATGCGCTCGCGCTACTATTGATGCTAAATGTTGCAACACGCAAACACTTTTTCAAGAAACGGCTCAATTCAAGAATAAGAAGAGAGCCACCATTTCGTAAGCAAGCTTCGCGACATGCGCTTCAACATTCATGTCGCATCCAGTCCCGATTGGCCGAGCTTCTTGCCAGGATTGTCTTGCTACGGACTTTAGCTTCGGGGCTCAGGCTTCACAGGTGATTTGGTCCTTGGGTCCAGGACTCTGAAGCCATAGACCTTGAGCACGAAAGCGGAACTACTGTAAACCCGAATCCCCAGCCCGTTAAACCCGAAAACCTGAATTTTTTGGCAAAGCAAGCAGAGGCATCGTCTGTACAACCCACCGGGCTCAGCCGTAGATAGTGAAGGGCTTCCTTCCCAAGCTTGAGCTGAAGGCTTGGTTTTTCGAGCGCATGCTTTCTGGGGCTCAGCAACTTCTAGTTCTTCTTATAACTAAAGTATGGGGCCAGTTTCAGGGTTTCGGGTTCAAGGGCTTCAGGGGCTCAGAAGTCTTAGAGTCGGAGGTTTAGGGCTTCAGGTATCTTTGGCTGGCTGGACAGTGGCGGCTCTTAGACTTGGGGTTGTCTGCCCTCCGAACCCAGCGTCGCAACCCTGCACCTGTGCCCCCAAATTCTGAATTCTTCAGCCCTAAATCCCTAAACCCTAGACGCTTCAGAGGAAGATCCTGCAGCCACAGAGCCATGGAGGAAACCCTGAAACTCGCCAGTAAGCGACTTTACAAAACCCAAAGTCCAGAACCATGTGCAGAGTTGACGGATGCTACTAGTACCGTTTGGGGGTAGGTTGGCCGGTACAGCACGAGGGCTTTGAATCTGGGGTTTAGGATTGTAAAACTCAACCCCCTTGCCTAAATCCCGAGTCCAAACGCCCACATGCCTATACCCCGACAGCACCCACAGCCAATTCCTGAAATCCAGGGGTCGGTCCAAGTTTGAGAGCTGACCATAAACCAGTAGCCCTCGGAACGTTGTAAAATCTGTTATTCTTTGAGGCTACCCATTTAGGCGGCCAGTCCCCATGGTGCTCTTGATGTGCAGTCGCCTGCAGGCCGTGTTTAGGGCTGTAGGGGTTCTAAGGTATTTGTCGTGTACGGCTTTTTCATGTTTAGGGTTGTAGAGCCTAGCTCCATGGTTGAGGTCTTTAGACTGTTGGGGTCTGAGGTAAGGATTTGGGATGTACTGCTTGTTGGACACGGAAGCCTTCATTTCTTCAGGGTTTACGGCTTAGGGCTCAAGCTTGCGATCACGAACAACCTAAACCTCACGGTCCCTAATCTTACGGCCATAGTCAGTAAATTTAACACACCAACACTCAACCGTCGAATCCTAAGCTCTAAACAGGACACAGTAAACATCAGAGCCTCATACGAAGTTTGGGGTCAAGTACCAATTATCTCTACAATCCACTATTGACGCCAGGCTCTACAGCCCACTGTAGACACGCAACATCCTCAGCTCTAAAAACCAAAAAACCCTTAACCTTCAACCTGTGGCAAAAACACACAAACACGTAGCCACAATGCTAGACCGAAGCTCCTCAAGGTCCTACCTCCTGCACCTATAGGGCTCGACGCCAACATAAACGACGTCGTCATCGCAGGTAGGGTAGATTAAGTTAGGTTTGGTTAGGTTTGGCTAGGTTTGGCAAGGTTCGGTTGGGTTAGGTTAGGTTAGGTGAGGTTAGGTTAAGGTTAGGTTGGGAAGGTGGGTAGGTAGCTGGGTATGGGTAGGCAGGTAGGCAGGTAGGTAGGTAAGGTAAGGTAGGGTAAGGTAAGGTAGGGTAAGGTAGGGTGAGGTAAGGTAAGGTAAGGTAAGGTAAGGTCAGGTAAGGTAAGGTAAGGCAAGGCAAGGCAAGGCAAGGCAAGGCAAGGCAAGGCAAGGCAAGGCAAGGCAAGGCAAGGCAAGGCAATGCAATGTAATAGATTGTAATGTAATGTAATGTATTGTAATGTTATGTTATGTTAT